AGTTTTGAGAGACTTCAAGCACAGTCCTGGACCGAGCTTCCAGAAGGTCAAAAGGAATGAAAAGCTCGCAACTTTTTCCAGCCAGTGCCTCTAACGACGAAGACAGTTACAATACAGCTGTGGCAGTCCTCAGCGAATCGTCAATTTTTTGCACTCAATCCTAAACAAGCATCGAATTTAGAACACTATCAAGCTCATCTACAAAAAAGGGCATCGCTATGTGAAAATTACCGACTTCGTTGCTGTGTCTCAACTCATAAAACAGGTATCCCGTTTACGGACAATAAGTCATCCAATTAACACTATCCGTTTCCAGCATCAAGTGACTGGACGAGTTCCACGCTCTATCGATCTCACTGATTATTTTGATACGACCATTACAATTCTAGCTGACTACATCGAAAAAGGAGAGATAAAGGTATAAGATTAGCTTCATGTGTTCAAATGTTTAATGCGCGTGTTTAAGGCTAAAATTTCCTTCTACGCTTTGGCAGAGCTACTGAAACTCACAAAGACTTTTGTGATGGAAGATCTACAAAGGCGCCTTGAAGAGGTGAATTTTTTCCACTTGCAGATCATTGCCTATAATCAGAGCAAAGTCTAAGATTACTTATCTGCCCTATGAATTTCAGATCCTCATTTTGACCGCCGATACTTCTACCGATCATCTCATTCAAGCGGTCCTTGTAGCTGGCACATCAAACATAACAAAAGAGGTAAACAGGCTGAGATATCACATACAAAATGATGACCTCGGTTACAGACTGAGAATGCCCTGCATTATCTCGCCGCTTGGAGTTTTGTGGAAATGGCCAAGTTACCGGACTTCCAGCGCATACCGTACCACCAGTTTGTCATGCTTCTAGCCAGGTAGGCCAATAATATTGGGAATCTCAAAGCTTTAGGCACTCAGCTCTCTACCTTATGCCAACTCCGTCAGCGCAAACTCGGAAAAGGGAATGCACGTGGTTTGACCAATCCAACCATGCTGTGCATGAATACACTTGCTTTGAATTATCTGCTAAGCGTGTGGAAGGAGTTATGAAAGTTCAAACATGACAACTTGCTCAAGTCCTAATGAATAGAATTCGTTAGAAGGCAGTCTGAGGGTGTGTAATCGCAATGATCATGGGTATCCCGTTACAGCGAAGCATACTTACTACAAACCTGGATGAAATTTCAGAAGGTTTTCCTTGGAACATGCAGAGAGCTTGATACTTTACTTTAGACGTCATAGCTCCTTCCAAATAGGCACTTAGCGGATAATGCGAGTGCGAACAGCTTGTCCTGAGTTGCTCAAGTTGACCAAGCAATTCATTCAAGCTTTTCAAAGGCGCATTTAGTTTCTAATCATCATCATTTCTCCACCAAACGTTTGGATTACAGCTGCGAGCTACATGTTGCTCATGAAGTCGTCGCTGCTGATGCCGCTCTTCTATGGCTTGTCGGTCAACCTCATCCGGCTGTTTACGTGCCTGGTGTATTTTCCGTGGTAACTAATTTTCAACTTTGCCGTAGGACCATTATTCATCGAACTGCACTCAGATTCGTTCCGCTTATTTAAGTAAAGTAGATCGTCAGCTCATCGTAGAACGCATCGCTACTCTGCAAATGCCGGAATCGGTATACCTGGGTTATAAGCGGAATGGATGCTTAACTCTTTTCATGCAGGTGGCTCGTTTTGCCAAAAATTCGATGGAGTCAAAGCATAGTAGCCGAATCTGCCTTGAAGGAACACACATCAATCGTCATCTAGTCCGTTGTGGTATACCAGATCCTGAGAAACGTCCGAAAGAGACACAACTAGTATTGAGCAGACCACGTGAGGGGATCAAATGGAGTGAGAAAAGTAAGCGCTAGGAGCAGAAGAAGCTCGGAGGGTTCGCTTTTATATGATACTATGTTTCTAGACCTAGAAGAGCAGAAAAAATCGAGGAGATCGAGAAGATCGAGAAGATCCAAGAAGTCCAGAAGTAGAAAGGTCATTGGAAACCATTTTCTCCTCAAGTCTTTCGAAACAAATGTTTTGCAGAGTAGAAGAAGCAGCCAAAGCAAGAGATCTAGCCGCAGGAGTAGATCGCAGCGTTCATCGAGAAGTAAGCGGTCGCCAAAGTAAGTAGAGTGATGAATCTAACAACTTTGATTAAGGGAATAATCGAGGTACAGTCTATGTTAATCATAAGCTTCCTTTTCCGCACGCGCATCGTCACGTCAACGCCTCGCGCAACTTCCGTGGGCGAGCAACATGACCATACAAGTCGGCTTCATTGATCGCAGCTCGCAACGCAAGGCTTTTGCGCTGCGAATGCTCATCTTTACTTAAAAGAACTGGCTGATTGATACAGACGATAAACAAAGTCTGAAAGTATTCAAAGTTGCCCCATGAAGCTCATCTTTCTTGGGAAATATACAGCCATTCTACATTGCACACTTGCGCTAATAAACAAATATTGCTCAATTCTTTTTCAGATCGGAAAGATCCGGATCAAAAAGCAGACGCTCGAAAAGAAGCAGTAAATCGTCAAAAAGACACCGATCTAGCTCAGAAAGACGTCGCAGCAGGCGTGAAAGTAGAAGCAAAAGCAAGAGGAGCCAAAAATCAGAGCGTAGTAATGGAAATGGTGAAGGTAGGAAAAAACGCGCGAAAGAGGGCGAAGAATCGGGGTGAGGAGTAATCTAGCTCTGGACTTGGTCTGATAAAAAATCAATTCCAGGAGCGAAAGAGGCGAGAAGAGGCGTGGGAAGAAAACGAGGGACGAGTAAAACTCTTTGACGAAGCCACTGATACAGCGTAGATGAATTTTGATGTAGTAAAGCAGTATGTAGCTGTATTAAAGCTGTTGCCCAGGCATAGATGCGTAGAATTTCCCTCGAAAAAATGCCTATGTAGGTACGAACATCCCCAGACACACTGTATCATATGCTGGAAAAGAAAGTAATCATCCTTGACACAAACAAAAACAAAACAAAGGTTTAGTCCTGCAAAACTCGAAATTCTTGATTCAGAATTCTTAAAGCTGAGCAATGTAAAAATTTCGACGCAAAACTCCTGCTAAAGCTCTTGCTGCCTGCCGCAAAACTCCTGCTAAAGCTCTTGCTTTTTGAACGTAATCCACAAAGAATATTTATGATGGCGAAAGTGTTGGTGATGGCGTTTGCGAAAATTCGTACTGACACCGTTGCAAATTAGCAACTTTTCTACAACCACTGTCAATCTTCAAGGGTTGAGAAAAATTTTTGACAGAGAAGCCTCTCCCGTCAATGACTGAGCCGTCATACTCAGTGGGTAAATTTGCATGAAATTCGTAAACGCTTGTTGTTCCGAATGTTGTCGGGGGGCGGGCGTTAGGCACCCAACCATTAGTGATATACACTAGGCCACGCCCCTTGGCTGCGCTACCTAGCGATACACCAAATTCTAGCTGCTAGAAAGGCTCACCAAACTCGCTAAAGCGCTGGCGCTTGCGACCCACACAAAATGGATAATTCGAGAAAATCAAAAAAATGCGCGAATGAAAGCGCAAGTTTACAACGCTTTTTCTATTGCTTTTTTTAAAAGCAATTTTAGAACCACAGAAATTCGGTGATGAAAGCTAAAAACAGGGTAAGGCTTTTATGAGCAGTTCACAGAGATTTGCAAAAAATTGTGATAATCTGATCTAACCGATAAGTCAGCGGGAGTTCCAAAACAGTAAACTTTGTAGAATCAATTTTATGATATTACTGAAGCAAAGCGCACTTTCGGAGACGCTCCTGACAGATAAGTTGCACGCATATTCCTTTGTTTCAAAAAGACTGCTTCAAATACATTTTGACAATGAGAAGAGGAACCGATTGAAAGAAGAGCTTCGACGAGAACTTGTCATCAGGAATCGGAACTTCAAGGCGGACTATGTGGCCCATTGATATGGGAAGGGCACTAGCTCGTTCCAGTCAACGAAAATTGTAAATTTCAGAGCTATGCCAATTTTGGATGAGTGTCGCCAAGAGAATGCAACAGGAAAAAGCAGCAACTCTACTGAGAACAATTATTGGGAAAATTTTTTGCTTTTTGGGGAGTTACAGAAAAATGCATAGCTTTGGTTGGATAAATTGAGCATATTTTGGCTGCTAGAAAAGAAAAGGAATATGAAACAATTGCACTATGAAGGCCTCCAAAAAAGCATTACAGAGAATGTAGACATGATGAAATACATAGCTCAATGGAATTTTCACATGAGAAATCTTCCAAAATGAAGAAAAATGTGTGCTTATCAATGCCTCATAAATCTGTTGGTCTTGACTATGACCGAAATAATGACCTTAATAATCTACGTTGACATAGTTCACAATTCCTGTGGCAATATTAATGCAAGTGTTACGACCCTTAACTTCACACCTCAAGACGAGCCTGATGACAATATGTGAAAGGAATACGTGTGATGTTTGCTAGGGGCGCATCCGAAAGTGCGCTTTTCTTCACTAAAATCATAAAATTTGGATTTATTGGTATTCTACAAGGTTTACTTTCATAAAATTCCCCCTGACATTATCGGTTCAGATTATCACAATTTTTATTTTGCAAAACTATGTGAACTGCTCATAAAAGCCTTATCCTGTTCTTAGCTTTCATCACCGAATTTCTGTGGTTCTAAAATTGATTTCAAAAAAGCGGTGGAAAAAGCGTTGTAAACTTGCGCTTTCATTCGCGCATTTTTTTTGATTTTCTCGAACTATCTTTTTCATGTGGATAGCAAGCCCCAGCGCTTCAGCGAGCTAGGTGGGCTATTCTAGCAGCTAGGATTTGGTGTATCGCTAGGTACCCGCTGTCAAAGCAGCCAAGGGGCGTGGCTTACTGTTTACCACTAATGGCTGGGTACCTAACGCCCGCACCACGGCTGGGTACCTAACGCCACGCACCCGCGCGCCGAGTGGTCCGCAGCGTTTGAGCAGTCCGTGCGGTCAACGAATCGACGATACCTCATAGCACCCCATGCGCAACTGTAAAAGATCTCTAAACAAAGTCGAAACAACATTTATGCGTCAAAACACGAATTAAGAACAAACTTAATCTCATGCAATACAAGCACTCTTAAAACAAGATCAGTAAACAATACTTATGACAAGTAGCGGCAACAACTGACAGTTCTCTACAAAGACTAGACAGATATGACGGCTATCACATCAACAAGACATTATACAATCGTCTACAATATTACAATTTAATTAAGATGTTGTGAGTAAATTTTGCTTGGCTTTTTCAACCTCATCGGAGAATTTTGGGTCCTCGAGCAAAACATCTCGCACTTGCATCAATACTTCACCCATGTAATTATGGCCCTTCCATTGCGTCGGGTCGGCCACGCTAGGATCATCTGCAAAGTAAAATTTTTGGCTGTAAAGTAACAGAATGTATCAGACACAAAATAGAAATTGTATTAACAATATTTAGCAAGATTAGATATCCAATTCGATAATTGGGAAATTTTGAGTAGGGGAGCTAAAATAGGTGAAAAAGACAGCAAGAATGCTGTAATGAGCTCCATCCACTATTCCTATGTTTTGTGAGCTTTGTGATCGCTTTATGACAAACCAAAAAACATCTGACATACCAGCTGCAAGGCCTATTCCCCAATACGAATCGTTTGGACACGCTTCGACAAGCACCGATCCTGCAGTTCGAAATAACTGATAACGCATCCGTCGATTCTGCTTGAACTATAACAAAAACATGAGGAGGAATCAGCAACCGGACCCAGATGAGTACTACCTTAGCCATGACAGCTTCCATCATAACTTGCCAAGGAAGCTTCCTCCATTTCTTTTGACTGAGATTATCTAAAAATGCTATGTGGTAAGTATTTTATCATAAACCTCCGACAGCTGACACGCTAGCCGCTAAACTTTATGGCAATAATACTTCGACGGCAATTAATCGAGCCTTGACATTTTTGGCCACCCCTTTTGTACAAGTTCTTTTTTTTTCATACGATATGATAAGTGGAGCAATGTCCGGCATGACGGTCATGTCGAACACAGCAGAACAAGACATCAACGGCGGAAAAGCAGGTCATTGCACATAAAAACTATAGTTAAATGTGGTGACTATGTGCGGAACGTCACGAAAATCAAAAAAATTATAGGAAAACAATAAACTGAAAGACCTATACCTCACAAATGAAGAAACCTTCCTCCCAAAAATTGCTCCAATCACTTCCACCTTTTTCTCTCTCGATGAGACTATGAGCTGATACTTGATACGGTTTGTTTTAACAACGTTTTTTTTTCAAGCTTCAGAAGAAAACGCTGATGACTTTGAACCAGGGTAACGATCTGCGAAAAAAGGGAGACATGGAATATCGAGAATCTCAGCTTGTATAGCATCATGCTCATACTCATTGGGCTATCAGGGTAGTAAAGCCTCTTGAAAATGGGTCAGCAAAAGAGTACTTTGGAGCGGCCTGCATTAACATCCCCACTGGAAAAGATAACGAAGCTCAAAAGCAATCCGGAAGCATTCCTGTTTAATGCACTTTACTATGAGCTTACTGGATAGGAGGAAGAAGTTGTATAAGCTGTTTCTTCCAGCTTTATGTACGATCCCTTGACATCCCAGGCGGCCGACAATAGGTACGACGAAAATCGGGGGCGATAATGGGTCACGAATATTTGTAAATGGACCTACAATGGCTGACAATCATGTGGGTGATTATTTTTGAAATATAAAAATAATCACATTTACAGGAAAAAATTTCCTGAAGAACTTCCAAAAAATACAAAGCCTATAGAAAGTTTATCAGAATAAGCACCAATGAATTTTTGAAGAAAGTGGCCGAGGTCACACCCCTCCGCTTAGCAAGATTGTAGCTACCGCCCCAAAAAAATTTCTGGCCAGTGATAAGTTTGTGAACCATCAACAATTTAGAATCAATGTAAGAGTCAATGAGCCTCAGATTAATGTAAAATTCTGTCAAGCTTCTACGACGATAATTAGCTCTCTGGAAAATATGTACTAACCAGACATGTAGAATTCTTCAATCGATGGGAAGTGCTGTTCGTGAATAAATTCCAGGCATGAATAATGGTTTGAGAACACGTATTTTTCGGAAGAAAATGGAATGATGTTCTTATCAGAGATCTTGCACTTGAAGACAGGCGGATCAGGTATTGTCTGCAAATAGACTGAGCACAATAAGGTCGAAAACACGTAGCATTCAAGTTACCCTCACTTCCTCTTTGAGATCATCATCGGTGTCTGTGTCGCTGTCTGACTGAACTTCCTCTTTACTTGTGACATCGTCGTCGTTAGCAATCGGCTGAAAACAAGAGATTCACGATACAATGATATGCACATGTTCGTTGTCCCTATACTGAAAGATCAGAGGCAGTCCTAGGCAAATCAGAGACTTGTGATAATCATTGAAATACGCATATAAGGTAATCTTCAACTAATCAGGAAAAGATAGTCGCAGTCAGTGGACGAAGTTTTTCGCTATGAGGTGCGGACGACGACATTGTTTTTGGATAATATCAATTTTTCTTCGTCATAGTTTTGCGAATTTTCAAACCGATCACTCTCTAATCGAGAATGCGGCAAAGAAGAGATGAGGTGATGGCATTCTCAAATGTTCATTCTGGTAAAAAGTGCAGAAATTATGGAGCAGGTGTTGAAGTGCCAGCCAATCTTTGAATTCATCAAATTTCACACTGCTCAGACAGAATATATGGCTTTCTTGCGCTACTCATAACCAACTTTCGAAGAGGTTTAAAGCAGATGATGAAGCTAGGATTCCCATAAAAAGCTTTCTCATATGCTGAACTGAGCATTGAAAGATTTCCATTAGTGCGATGCACCACTACCGAGATACGAGAAGAATTCTAGTTGTATGATAAATAGCTGAGACTCACTACGCTTATCAAATCAAATGGCTAAAGTGTCTCATAACACACTCTGACTATCAATCATCTGCTTCTTATAAAGTTATAAAACATTGCCATGGAAATGCACGGAAATCGCTTGGAAGACATCAAGGATTATGAGATTGTTTGTCGCTGGTGAGATTATGAGATTGTTTGTCACTGGGAAAAGCCCAGCTGTCCACAAACAAGAAGATCTAGATCGAAAAAATGCGACTTCAATGTACACAAACAGCTGATACCAGCTTGAAGTAGACATGAAAATACAGCCTCGAGTGGTCCAGTTTCGATACGATTCCATAATGTCGAACATATATTATACACATCATTACTATCGTTTCCACGTTTTTTTTTTTTTACAAGAGACCGTCTTCCAGTAAGAGATTAACTCGGCAGACAACACAGAGAGTTGACAACAGCGTTCGAAAAAAGATTAAGATGCATCGCAAAGAAGATCGTAAGAGCCAAGTTTCGGTGAGATATGAGATATGCGGAAATTCGGGAAACATTCTCAAACGAAAAAAGCTTCGGAAATCCTGATCTCCCCAAGATCAATTTGTGAAAGAGGTTTTAAAGTATCATATAATTGCTGCAGTGGATAAATGCCAAGACGCATAATTTTTGCGGAAGGCACGAACAGAGCGTCTTGGCATACACAAAAGCTTCATTGACGGTAAGTGAGATTTTGAGCTGTACAAGAGAATTCAGCAGATAGGCAATTCCGTCTTATGAGCTGCCGTTGAAGGCAGTCGTTAGACAAGGTGGACGCCTGCCATAAGTAATGTTAGGTATTAGACCCCTCCTCCAAGTACACCATAGCTCCTACCCCATCCTAGATTTCTCGCGCTAAATCTTGAAAAGGCAATTGGAAAGTCCAGCACCCCGGCTCACTTCGATCGATTGGGCGTCAATGGTGAACTTCTGAGGCGCCTTCTCAGGACTTAGCGCAGGGACTAAAGGTTGGGGTTGGGCTACGGTGCACTTAGGACTACCCAACACTACCAAAATCCCATCTAACGGGGGTCTTTTGCCTGCATTTAAGAATTCTGATCCAAAAATTCAAAAAGAACTTCTATGATCATACCTCCTGTTGAGCCAATGCAGGATTGTCGACCTTTTCACTGCTGGGCAAATTGCTAGGCAAGAGATCAGGTAAAACAGCCTCTCTAGAGTCCTCGCATTTTGCGTCATTCTAAAACATCAACCCTAAGCACTATGTGGGAAATAACCGTCGCAATGTTTGAAAACGCCTGATAACTCGAAATTTTCAGAAAGAGGGAATGACAGACAACGCGAACCTGTCCATTTGCTTCCTCCGGACTCGGGGTAGGTGCTTCGATTTTTGGATTATCTTGGCAGATGACAGGCTCTTTCACTGCATCACATGTAGTTGATTGGGCAGCCTTCGTTAACGACAGAAATTCGAAGAAAGATGTATGACTGAAGGTAAATCCTATTCAAACTAACTGCATCATTCTTCAATAGTGCCACTCTTCTCTTAGGTATGATAACAGTCAAAGTTTCGGTCTTATGTACATGAGGAGCAGCTGACGGTTCCTAAAAAGAAATATTGGAAGAAGAATGTGTCACTGAAGGTCTATGCAGCGTGCTCCGTTTTACAGAATTATAGAATTGCATTACCGCTGTTTCCTCCGAAGGTTCTGGTCGCTTTCTGGGTGATACATTAGCCGCACTTGGTTTCTAAAAACAAACCATGAATCTAACTGAATACGTACTTGGAGATAACAGTCAAACCTGGAAATCCCTTCTGACAACAATGCCAAGGTCTTTTTTCTCTTTTTTCTTCATATTACGGGGTGACAAGTATGAGCGGTTATTTGCTGACTCGTACACAATCGCCTTATGGGTAGACTTTGACATATCGGCATTATTGCATACGACGACGTCCTTGCGCTAAAAGTAGTCAATGAAATTCTGATGTAGACAACTGACGTGACGTGAAATCGGAGTAATATAGTGTTACATAGGAAATATGGTCAACAATCACGAATACTGGATCTACATAAGATCAGCAAGTACAGGCTGGAACATATGTCCGACACTAATAAGTGAAAACCGCAATACTTGTACTTCTTCTAAATTCTAATAACCTGTCCGAGGGGGTTCAGATCAAAACCAATGAAAAAAGCCCGAAATACACAAACATAGGGATGAAAGCGGTTGATTGTATACTAAGCATCAATTTACAATGCACAGTAATGTCTCTTTTTTTTGCAAGCTTGCTACTGTGGTACACGTATAAACTAGAAACATTTGGACTGAAAATGGTCAGAACTTAACACAGCCATTCCAAACAAGCTGTATATCATCGAACTTGTCTTAAACGCTTAATTCAAACATATGTTTTTATCTGCCAAGCGACTATCTGAGAGGAGTTATGAGCGTTCAAATACGAAAAATTTTTCGAGTTTGACGAGCTTATTTCCTTGAAAGGCAGCCCGATAGCGCGGATTTACAATGGCTATGGTTATTTTAATTATTGAACAGTAATCTAAAGGTGCTGTGTCAGGTGCGCGCTTCGGGACCGCACCGCGGTTTCCCGGTATCTGCACATTTTTGAATTGCGCTTACGATTCTTTATATACTAGAATATTAGATTACAAGGAAGAAGCATATTCAAAAAAAAAAAGTGTTTTCGAAAACTATTTCGTAGAATATGCGCCACAGAACACATGACAAACCGCACATTTGAACGCTCATAACTCCTCCCAGATAGTCGCTTGGCAGATAAAATACATTTGTGATCAGCGTTTCTGACCTTTTCCTGCTGAGACTATCAAATAATTTTCAAACCTTCGACTTGGATTGGTGTTTAGAATTCTGCCTGAGCACTGGAGGGATGGTTGACGAATGTAGCTCCTGTAAGCGAATATCTAATGCAATAAAATACGTTAAAAAACAAGCCTAGTATTTTTCAACGAAGGATCAAGCAGTCATCTGCGCGATCCACAATCTATGCTAAGATAGTTTTCACAAATGACATAACTGCGCTAGACAGTTGAACTACTTGGCCGATTCGAACTCGTGATGGGTGTAACAAAGTGAACATACCAAATCGTTCTTAGGAAAGGTTAATCGTAGCTGCTGCACTTCATCCGTTCGTTGTAAGCGAGAGGACATGGCGGTGAGCGGATCGTATAAACGATTTCTAAAACTGGAAATAAGAGGTATAAATTACATAAATATGATTTAACCGTTTGAAAAACTGATTGGAGAATAACTGCTCAAATTAAGGTGACATTCTTTGGGGTGAGTTTTCGACCAAAACTGGATGACGTTCTAGTGGTCAACAACTTTGTAAGCATTCAAGCAAAGAGATAAAAGTCATACCTTCTGTTCCTTTCGCTCAGAGTCATATACGCTGGCTCGTCTCTCTTCACCTCTACACTTCGTCCCGATGTGCTAGGCTGTAAATTGTGGTTTTGTGATGGAGAACAAAGAAGTTAGTTATAAACCGCAAAAAACCTTAATAAATTAGGACCTACCTCAAATGTATTGTCTATTACAACTACTTCGTCTTCAAGAAATAAAGGGCAGCGCTGCTCGTAACCAGTTCTGGAAGGAAAGCGTGAAGTTCAGCACATAAGCATCATGAGCCAAAGAACATGCATGAGAAGATGGATAGGAAATGGAACATCTTGCCTGTTGTAAAGCGGATACTAAACTATGAGCTTCTGGCAAAGTGCGAATTTTACAATCAACGTAAATGCGACAAGCGAAATGGCGGCAGAAGCAGCATGAGCAGAAATGTATCTCGTCAATATCAAAAAGTCTCCTCAGATGTTTCCTCTTATAATGTAGTTGAGTTCATTACTTAGACTTTGTGAAGAGAGTGAGAGATTCTAGCTGAATAAGCCAAAAATATCTTTGCCATTAGCTCCGTTACATGTGACGACACTTAATGAGCAAAGTGTAAAACTATACTAACCTGATCAGAGGCAAGGACCTAACAACTGGTTGATGCCTCGTCATTGCCGGCAAAGTTCTTTGAGGAGGAGAAAGAAGAACACTCACTCTGAAATTTGAACTGTTCAAGCTACAGCTGTAGTCACAGTACTTTTGCAAAGAAGAAAATGATGATGACATCACCATAAAAATCAAAATCCATCTCACACTCACTCACGCCATAAGGTAGAAATCTAAAAAAAATGCTTTGTTGACATCATCTTAGCCGGAAGCGTTGAGAACGCTGCACTTTCCCCTAAAGTGCACTCAAACAAATGTAACTCTATGAGTTTAGATTTCGTAGGCAGCCAGAAGGATATCTGCTCGCTATGCAAAATAAAGTCATCATATATTTGTGGACATTGTCTGAAAAGATTTCAGGAAGAAAACTCGCAAACGTCATGACAAAAATAACAGAAAACTAGAAATGGTAGGACCCGACTTTTTCAGAATCCATTGGTTAGGAAAGAGATAGCATTCTTTTTTTGAAGACAAAAATGATTACAATTTCGAATGACTCCAAGTTAATGATAATCCAAAGTTGAGTGAGCTTAAAAAATTTTTGGAACATAATCTTCCTGGATCTGATAATTGAAAGGCATTGCCATTTCCCATGCGAAGATGACTAGCGCGAAAAAAGTTCAACTAAACCCATTTTTCAAACCATCTCACCGTAAACCGTAAAAGAACGACTTTGTGGAGCAGTTCCATTTCCGTAATAAGCACGCTTTAGACAAGTTTACAACATCGTCTGATAACAGATTTCTAATCTAAACCAAAACCTGCGAGTCTCTTTTTTGATTTCGAACTCAAAAGGATTTACGAACCAAGTCTCACATCTTTCTCCTACAGGCCCAATATTTTCTCTCAGACTTTTGCACAACCACGCAGCTCTTCTTATATTTCACTAAGCCGATTAATTTCGGAAATGCCATTATGGTACCAACTACATTTATCGAATAACTAAGAATTTCATTGACTGTGTGATACACATAGCAGAGATAGCGTGGCTGTTTGCATGAAAAATTACGTGGCATAAGAGCAGAAGAATCACAAATTAATCACCTCTGAGTGAGATCGATGTTATAGAGCTTATTCAACCGCATTATCACCCTCTCCATCAAACAACTGAGTGAAGGTTAACTGATTAATCACCTGATTTTCTTTGCTCTCGCTCTGTTCACCATGGAGAAGAGCTGTGACGCAATGGAATTGCTGGCTGGAAAGATACAAAAATAATGTAAGTTATGACTTCAAGAAAGGAAATGAGATAGACTTTAAGACCAAAGAAGAGAAAATGTGAGAGGTGTAATACATAACTCGTATTATGAAAGGCAATGTATGGACAAATATGGATAGCCAAAGTTCTTCAGTGACTGAGAAAGGAATTAGGCTTAAAGGCAGTGTCTCACCAAAATTTAGTTGCCGAGATTTTTGCATTTTGCAAGCCTGTCGGACCCTGTCTAGCATTGTATGGACTTAAAATCGCACGAAGTTCCCAAAAACCCCGTTTTCTGGAGGCCCCGCGGAAGCAACGTGGACGAGTTGTACCTTCCAACTCCAGCCTCAGCCACAGTGGCAGCAACAGAGGGGAGATGGATGCCAAGTGGAGGGACATGTTCAAACGCGTAAGGGGGAGGCCGAAGGAGCCGTCCGCGCGTACCAACTGGCTCTCCGCGTACCACTTTGAGCGAATTTTTCTCAGCGTGGAGGGGATCAAATTGAGTGGGACTTGTTGCAATGACCTATCTAGAGGCCCCTATAATAGAATATGTAAAGATCCGCGCGACCTCAACTTTGGTGAGACACTGCCTTTAAAGGCAATCAATCGGCAAAAAAGACTTCTCGGATTTCGCTGGAGTTAGGAGTAGACCCCCAGTAATACACTGTAGCCTAAGCACCACCGGTTCATGCGCTAGCCCTGAAAATGGGCTTAAAAAATCCACCGACCCCGCTCACTCAGTGGAAGTGGGCGGGTCAGTGAAATTTTGAAGCGCATTTTCCAGGACTTAGCGAAGCGCATGAATTGGCGGGTGGGATTCGGGCTACAGTGTATTTGGAGGGGGAGGGGTCAACTGCCTAACGCAACCAAAAGATAAGGGTATTTTGCCGCTCCATGTCGAGCCTTTAAAGGCAGTGTCCGGGCAAAAAGTCGATTTTGAGATTTTGTGCTTACTGGGGCCTATTCGCTATGCTGAATCCGAAAATCCACATTGGAAAGCGTGAAAATGGCCAAAAAGAAGTCTAACGTAGGCCTGAAATTAAAAGGGGCGGGGTCTTCCTCACAGTGAATTCACGGTCCCAGCTTCCGAAGCGATACTCTCGCTTCCGAATTCAGATCATGCGTTAGCATTTGGTCTGTGGAGATGTCAGGACGGTTAGCGGAATTAAAAAGATCGCTCCGGAAGCTGGGACCGTAAATTCACAGTGGGGAGGACTCCGCCCACTTTTGATTTCACTCCTCTGTCAGAACCCTTTTTCGCCGTTTTCGCGCTTTCCAGTGTGGATTTTCGGATTCAGCATGACGAATAGGCCCGGGTAAGCACCAAATCTCAAAATGGTCTTTTTGCCCGGACACTGCCTTTAAGCCAATAGCCAAACGGCAGTTCATGAGAAACATGCCGCCAAACTTTCGCCCAGTATATCGCACCATGACTCTGACTGGTCCGCTTGGGAACAATACGGTATCAAGCGAACGCTTAGAATGGAATTCCAGCCGCAAATGAATCAAATGAGTCATTGCTTGGGCTAGTTTAGTCAAGACCTCTCAATTATTTCCAAATGAGAACTCAATAATTCAGGTAGCAGGGACATCGCCTTCAACATGTCCAAAAAAGGCTGAACAGCAGCCATGTTGACAGGCACAGCCATGGTACCATGGTACTATGTCACACAAACGAACTATCACACAGCCAAACAAAAAAGACTACAACAATCGTATTGATCAATGAAATGAATAGCAGTGCACTGCATGTAGCGTATGTGCGCCATTTCTATGAGAGAACATCAAACAGAACGTACACGTGCAGTCGCAGAATATGTACCGAAAAATCTACAAAGAGAAAACTTTAGCTACGAAGGGAGGTTTCCAAAAAAGTGCGCGCACATCGCTCTACATTGAACAAGGACCTCAATTGTTCAAAATGAGACAAAAACCAGCGCTACACCGGCAAGGGCGTATTTACGGAAGAAGAAGAACGTATACAAGGTCATAGGGAAAAGAGGAACCTCTTCTTTGTAACGATACTCGCGATCGTAATCAAAACCGAAAACAAAGGGAAAGAAAAGGACAGTGAGCAGTGCGGATCAATGTAAGTGGAGAGCAATGCGCGCGACGAAACACGCTAGACGCCGTTTTGATTTGATTTGAAATGGCGAAAGCAGAAGGAGAAGATGCATTACAGCGAGCAGAAAGATCGTAAAATTTCGCTGTAAGATGGGGGGAGGGGAAATATGACGTTCACGGTCAATGCAAATAATGATTCACTCATAGCTACAAAGTCATGAGTATATCAGTCAAATCGCTGCTCCAACGGAATTGAAACACCGCACCATTTTCATTCCCCCAATAAAACGCTATTGCTGTTTTTTGAAAAGGAAAAATTAAAGAAAGCCAAAATTCTATGAAATTCAATTTTCGCAGGATCCTGCACCCGAAAGAGTTCCTGGTATTCGAGAATTAGCATGTCGAGGCTTAGAGGCTATTACAGATTCTATGCTTGTAATGTAGCGAGTGACGCGTTTCTGAAGCATAGAATTCTGATAACATCTTAATAATTAGTCACACAGTCTGATTAGTGTCAATAGAAATTCTAAAAAAGGCATAAATCTTCTCATTGACATTTCGTAGATTTCTCAACAGATAAAAAAAAATCCCAAATGCAACAGTCTCCCAACGACGATAACTTGACTACATGACCAAGCAAGATAGGAAATCTTGACACCACAGAACTTTCAATAAATTATGAGGACGAGAGCTGCATTTACAGCAAAATAAAGAGCGCCTATGTACCATAGAAACCCTGCACTTAAGTAAACATTGCTTCGAGAAGGACGACATGATCAGAGCAAACAAAATTAGGTGGAGGAAAATGATGATACATGTTGATTTTTGATTTGATTTCGTGAAAAAAACATAACGAAAATCTATAGCGAGAATTTATAAGACGATTTGCATACACCAAGAGAGCAACAGATTTTTAAAGCCAAACTGAAGGAAGTGTTAAGCAGATTCGGATACCTGGGAACTGTGATTTAGAGCCCTAAAAACCACGGCAGAATGATCAGGGCAAACAAAGTTTTTTCCATTCTGTACTAACGCAGCTCATACTTTCCATTGGTTGCCGAGCAATTCAACCCTACTCCAGCTAAGACCGTACGCTCGCCTGAAGTTGCTCGACCACAGATAAATTCGAGCTGCTTGGCAATAAATTAGTTAAGCCTCGCAAACAGTACCCACATAACATAAAATTCCACAAATATCTGGAAATGTAAACTAACCAATCATAAACTTACAAGAGAATATTTAGTCGAAGTGGCTTTTTTAGATGGGACGTATACCATATTAAGCTAAAACGCTAGTCCCAAATCTGCCTTCCTTATCTGTGTACGATTGTGGACACAGTGCAATTAGGATAAAATGAGCCGCTAAAATCTTCCTAGCCTTCAAATTAAGCGTCCAAGTGTATATGTTTTTTTTTAGCTAGGATTATTAATTAGATAAGGTCTCTGGTAATCATCACTGCTTCAATAATGCGCCTAGAAAAAAATTACGACAATTTTTGGTCCTATTTGCACATGTAATTTTTTGCTTTAATAAGCGCTCATAACTCTGTGTCATGAATGTTCCGCAGATAAGGAAAGCAGCTTTGAAATTAACGTTTTATAGGCAGCATTCAGGCAGATCTGGACCTAAGGGGATTTTACGTGGAAACTACTTTTGGGGCCCTAACTAAGGCACTGCTCAAGCGGCAGTGCAGGTAGTGCTCTAACGGCTGAGATATTCCACTCGAAACTGGACCCCGCGATCGTATTCGCATGGATTCATGGCAGTTTCGCGCCAGGACACATGCTTTGCGCCATAAATCCATGCGAAACACGATCGCGGGGTCCAGTTTCGAGGGGGATATCTCAGCCGTTAGAGCACTACCTGAGCTGTCGGTTGGACAGTGGCTTAGTTGGGGCCCCAAAATTACCCAAGTGAGATCCCCATGTGTCCAGACTTGCCTGGACGCTGCCTTCAAGCTCCTCAATATGGTACACATTCCATGAAAAAAGGTCACTTCGACTAAACATGTTAGTCGCTAGGTAAATGTGGGTTTCGAAGGTGAAAAGGCTAGTCATTCAAGATAAGCTCTGGAGTATAACGATTCTGATTCTTTTCGATGCCAGAGGAGCAGAAGCAAAAGCATACGTATCATCAATAGAATGTGGCTAGAATGCAGACATGTCAAAGTGCCGACTTCCCATCTTTCGCGATGATTTGGAGGGACAAACGAAAATAACTAATTTGGTTTAGAATTTATGGCAACTGTCATCTCAGCGAACTGTCTCTCGTCACAGAACAGCAAAGAATAAGGAATGCGACACTAATTGAACAGCGATCAGTACCGTAACATTTGGTGCACTGTTATCACAAAGAGAGCAATATGTTGACGAAATAAAAAATTTTTATCGCATGAAATAAAAACTTTATATTACTCTTTGCTCTGTTGAAGAAGAATGAAAAGATAAGGCTGTTGATTCTGTGGTGAAAAAAAGAGAGAACGAAAGTGTAGTACTTCTTCGGAGATACGCGTAGTTAAAAATGAATTCTAAGAATCAAAACGTTCTGCACAAAGAGTCGAACAAAACAGAAAGTGTAGCGATATGGGATAATAGTGCTTATCGCTCAAATTAGAAGCAATTTTTGACACAGAGGAGCGTATGTGTTTTTGTTTTCACCTTATTAAGGTCGAGGTCGCAAAAGAAGTGTGCGATATTACACAATCAGTCAAAAAACCTTCACCAACTTGTTCAAAAAGTTTTTTTGCTCCAATTAAAGGTTGTATTACACAATTAAATTGAGGACGCTGCTAAACAAACACGTTTGCGATTCAAGGCAGAAACGAAAGGTTGAGCTTTCGAATAACTGCTGATGGCTGCTTATGTGGATTGCTTGATAAATTGGCGAAAATTGTTATTACTATTAGTGGCTAACGTTTTAGCGATTTCGCCTTCGT